TATAAAAAAAAATACTACTAAAGGATATATAAAAATTTACATATACAAATAACTCTCAAGGAAGGCTCCATCGTTTGGAGTTGTAAATCAGTCCATATATTCTGTATATATAATTTTTAGTCCTTCAGCATGAATATGATGCCATATACCTGTAAGACTCTTTCTTATTATCACTGTTGTCATTGCAACAATTTACATCCTTCATGATAACAATCTTGGCATCACTGAACAAGGGGCTTCTGATCTATTTTCTGACTAGTCTGGGTATTAAATAGGTCTAATGTGTGTATCATTTAGATTCCCAGTTTGCACAATCCAGACCCATTTTGCTGTGACCATTACTTTGTATTTTGACCATTTCCCTTAAGGCAATGAGTGGTTATTTCAGTTGCTATGTATGTGTTTATTTTAGTGTTGGATCCCGACTCCCGAGTGATGTGTGTATATTAGTGTGTATTGTATAAACATTGATATGAATTTCTTTTCCATTTTCTTCAGGGGAAAAAAGATTTAGAAGTTGTTGATTCCGCAGAACCCAATGACGAGAAAGGTGATATAGGTAACAGTGATAATGAGGAAGCCTACGAGCCTTCTTCTCCAGTGGATTCTTGCAGTGATCTTGACTCTGACGACGAACAGAGAAGGTGAGATCCTGTTCCTTTGTCACTGCTCGGGGCAATCACTATTCTATTAAGTTTCAATGTAACAAATGTATGCTTTCTTTCATGTAGGTATGATGAGCAACTTGAGGAGTTTCTTGATCAAGCTTATGAAAGATTTGTCAATAGAACAGATGGAAATGCAAAGCAGCGGAAGCGTGCAAAGCAGGCTTATTCTAAAGATAACAAGGAGGTTCTGGAGGTACAGAGAAAATATGATCAGTGTGTCCTTTCTTAGTATTCTTTTATAGACACTGCCATATTTCATATTCTTTTGTATACTTAATTTGCTAATTATTGAAGAACCTTATTCTTTGGAAGTGTTATAGCAATCTAGTTTATTTAATTATTTTCTTAAAATTTTGTCTGAGATATTATTATGTATTATATTTTTGTATATTCCAAAACTAGATACAATTTTCTGATTTGAATAGATCTAGCCTTATAAGTTCATTAGCTTTTATGCATCTCAATCTGTTCTTTTTAATTCGTCCTTCTTCTAGTAGTGTCTTTCGCCAACAACGCTGTTTCTTCCTGTTTTCTGGTCTCTATACTACAAAATGATTTATGGTTTTTGCAAGTTTATAATTTATCTGTGTGGGGACGTTGTGTTGGGTATCTTCTTTTCAATGGTTGGCATGTTGTTACTTGCAGAAATCATGAATAACTTAGTAAGTTTATGGGTTTATTAGTTAGAATACTTCTAATAAAGTAAGCTCTTTCTAACAATGATCAGTTTAAATTGTTGATTTCATTTCCCTTGGTGAATTGAGAGCTCTTTTTAACTTGTAGGGTGGTGATGAAGAAGACATTGTTCAATCAGATTATGATTCTGACAAAGATGAGGTTCATAGGGAAGCAAATCCTCTCATGGTACCACTCCATGAAGAAGAATTGCCAAGCCAAGACCAGATAACAGAAAAGTGGTTTAGTCAGGATATATTTGCCAATTCAATTGAAGAGAGGGATTTTAGGAAGATTGATAGTGATGATGAAATGGAGGATGCGCAGGAGGAAAAACTTTCAATTCCCAAAAAGACTTCGGGAAATGTTGTTCTTCGTCCCAAAGAAACCAAATTTTCTCAAAAACAAGATTCTAAGGCGGAGGACTTTGAAATTGTACCTGCTCCAGGTACTGATTCCAGTGACGACTCATCTTCATCGTCGGATGAATCAGAGAAAGACAATGATACAAAAGCTGAAATTTTAGCATATGCAAAAAAAATGCTGAGGAAGAAGCAACGTGAGCAGATACTGGATGATGCATACAACAAATACATGTTTGATGATGAGGGCTTACCCACATGGTTTGTTGAAGAGGAGAAGAGGCACAACCAGGCAATTAAACCGGTCACTAAAGAAGAGATTGCTGCAATGAAGGCTCAATTTAAAGAGATTGATGCCCGCCCTGCCAAGAAGGTGGCACAAGCCAAAGCACGTAAGAAACGTGTGGCCATGAGGAAGCTTGATAAGGTTCGGAAGAAGGCAAACACTATTTCGGACCAAGCTGACATTTCTGATCGGTCAAAGAGCAAGATGATTGACAAGCTTTATAAGCAGGCAACACCAAAAAAGCCGAAGAAAGAGTATGTGGTAGCAAAGAAAGGAGTTGCGGTCAAAGGTGGTAAAGGGAAGGTTATTGTTGATCCAAGAATGAAGAAGGATATGAGAACTCGTGGGATGGGTAGGCATGGGAAGGGCAGCACGAAGAAGGGGAAGAGCAAGAAGGGTCAAAAAGGCAAAGGACCTGCGAAAGCTTCAGGCAAACAAGGAAGGAAGGGAAACAAAGGAAAGTCTTTCGACTGAGCACGCCAGGTCCCCTGGAACACAGTTTGATAATGTCTTTGCTCGCTTCTTGCACGCTTCATACTATTAAATTATAAAAGGCCCCATTCATTGAGATTGCTAGTTGAACCACAGTGATCTGAAAAGGTTTTTGAAGTTTTATCTTAAACCTAGTGGCATTTTGCGGAAACACTGAAAATACCAAAGAATGGCCATGAGAACTTTGCTTCGTGTATTGATTGTATTTTTTTCATTTTCTCGTTTTCTAGGGACATATTTTATTCAATATTGACCATTTTAGAATACTGTAGACTGTACTAGGTTTAAGATCCATGATAGGCTTTTTACGAATGGTTATTCACCCGCACACTTATTATCATAGAACATATAACTGTCGTATTGCATGTTTCATTTGACTTGAATCCTGATTTGCTTGGTATCCAATTGAGTCTCTTCCATAAGCTTTTTTAACTTTAATGTGGCGAAGTGATGTGCATGATTCTTTAGGAAAAGATTGAAAATTTCTTGTCTGCAGACATGGATTTATGGAAAATGGCCATGGAAAATCTTAAAAGTTAAGTATAACCTAATGATAAATTGTAGTGGATGTCAATTTGTCGAAATTTAGAAGTATTTTTCTGTGGTATTCAGAAATGAAAGAACTGAACTACTGAAGTACTGAATATTGCATGCTGAAGTACTTTAACTGCTTCTATTGTTTACCTGAGATTGCATGCTGTTGCTTAATGTCACATTAACTCAATTGGGCCAATTTGTTAACTTAGCCCATGGGCCAATTTGTTAACTTAGCCCATGGGCCAATTTGTTAACTTAGCCCATGGGCCAATTTGTTAACTTAGCCCATGGGCCTTGAAGCTGTTGGTAGCGTTAAAAATCCGACCCGATTAACGATCCGGCTTCGGTTTAGCAGCAAAACAGCCAAATAAAGCCTACAAGTAGTAGTAGTAGTAGGAGAGGAGAGTGATGAGTAAGAGAGAGATTCACAGAAACCCTAATCTCTTTAAAACCCTAGACGCCAAACCCTAAACCTCGACCAATTCAAAACTCTCTCGGCAATTCTTCTGCTTATACTTACTTATATGTGGTGCGTTCTTCTTTCTTTCTTACTCTTCTATGTTTAATCATGTTTAGATAGAAATTACTTGTTTTATTCATAAATTCATCAAAATCTCTAAAAGTTTCAACTGATTTGCGAAATGTTATAGTAATATGATTTCTTTTAAACATTCTGCGTTTTTTTTTTTAAATGTGGATTGTAGATGACAATGAAAGCTTCTAGTTTCTTACATTTGGTTGTTGTTAGTGATAATTCATTACCTTGATGATGAACCCCAAGTAACAATGTCCTTAGTTTTTATTTATTGGTTTTATTTTGATGCGAAATTGTTGCAATGATGAAAGTTTTACTCTTTGAGGAAAGCCATGTGCTTAATGAACTTGACATGGTGGAGATCATGTTGATTCTGAGCGGTTACCTGAGCAACAATTCGATGTATATGAATTTTTATTGGTGTTTTTAGTTGCAATATCATGTAGTGATGATAGATTTTAAGTCTTGATGAAGAAATTTGCTTGATGAATACTAGACCTAAGATTCTATTTGATTATATATATGAGTTCATACAGACACGTTAATCCCTCTAAGATTTAACCTTTTTAAATATATTTGTTTATACTAATTTATAGCTCTTCCATAGTTTTATTGGTTTTTCTTAGCTGCAATTTGTTGCAATGATGATAATTTTAATGTTGATGAAAGTCATGAGAACTCAGACATGGTGGAGACCATGTTGATTCTGAGCGGTTACCTGAGCAACAATTTTATTATATTTGAGTTTCATACAGATTGTGATATCTGTAAGAGACTATATATACTGAGAGCTATTATGCATTTTAGTATTTACAATTTATTCATTTAATATGCACATCAATTCTATAGTTTTTATTGGTACTTTTACTTCAAAGTGTTGCAATGATGATTGTTTTAAATATTGATGAAAGCATTGTGCTTGATGAGAACTCGACATGGTGGAGATCATGTTGATTCTGAGCGGTTACCTAAACAACAATTTGATTATATTTGAATATAGGCATCAACTCTGTAAGAAAGTGGATGTGTATGTGTCAACATATCAATTTTCCCGCAAATGAGATAAGTGCTAAGGTCGTCCTATCATGTATTGAATTCAAGCATTGCTGCCACTTCAGAACTGTAGTGTTGGTCACTAAGCACAGACCAAGATAAGCGTACCTAGTGTTAGTGCAATCTTAAAGGGCAGAATATTAGTTTTAGTAAAATCTTAAAGACAAAAAATATTTGCATTTAGTATGCAAACAATCAGGCTTTAATTGTAAATCGTTGCAATGGTGTGGCTTTTTTGCTTAACGAAAGTGTTGTGCTTAATGAGAGCTCAACATGGTGGAGACCACGTTGATCTTGAGCGGTTACCTGAGCAACAATTTGATAATAAATGGAATAGTCCTTTTTCGTTTGATACTTAACTATATCCAAGTTTTCATCTTTCAGAGTTCTCTCTAGAGGTGGGCATGGGTTGGTTTGGTTTTGATCAAAACTGAAAACCGAACACCATAGTAGGTGTTTGTTAAACTGAAAACTGAAACCGAACTGTTTGGTTTTCAAAACCGAACCGAACTGTTCAAAATTGTTGGAAACCGAAACTAAACCAAACACTATCCGCAGTTTGGTTAACCGAATAAAACCAATCCGAACACATTTTCTAATTGCCTTGTTTTATCAAAGACAATCAAATCCCTCTTATAAAATGCTTTCAGTTTTTACCAGCAAGTTTCCTAAATTGTTTGTATACCATGTTTCAAAAGTTATCTAAAGTCTTTGCAACTATCAACAATATTTATACTAAATCATCAAATTCCATCCAAAACTACAATGAATTATCAAATCCCACACCAAAGCTTGAACACCTAAAGTTGGAGATGATGAAGATTTGAAGATTTCTGCAGATATTGCCACCAAAATTACAATGAATTATCATAGGATTTGAAGATGGAAGATTTCTTGTACCGATTTCTTTTTCTTCCTCTTCTCATTCTTACCATAGGATTTTGATCTATTCAAGTTTCAAAGAGATTTTTTCTTTCAATTTTTTTTTATATAAAGGGTTTGTTTGGAAAGAAAGAAGTCACTTTGTGAGTGCTTGTTTATGTGAGTGGGATGAGTGTTCATGAAGTCAGTTTGTGAGTGTTTGTTTATGTGAGTG